CCCCCCCCCCCCCCCCCTCAAGCTTTCGATTTGCACCCCCCCCCCTCAAGTTTTCGATTTGCACCCCCCCCACCTCAAACTTTCGATTTGCACCACCCCCCCCCCCCTAAAGTTTTTCTCTATATATTTTGCTATTTTTTGCCTTGGTGTCACCCCCCTAAATGGTGTCACCCGGTGCGGTCCGCACCCTAGCCCCCCCCCCCCCCCCCCCCCCTCGCTACGCCTCTGGTTGTGGGATATTCCGTAGTGTAAGGAGATGAAGAGTCGTCATCTTTTCCTTTTTGTGCCCAAGACGCATGGGGCCATAGAAAGATACCTCCACTTTTGTCGGTCACCGGCAATTCTCTGGTAACTTCAGAATCTACTCAATTTGCTACCCAGGCTTTTCTCCTTGCTTGACATTAAGGGGACAGTATCACCTAGACTAAGGGAGAGAAACAAAAACATTAATTTAAAAAACTGTTCGACGTACATATGTCAGCTTTTTATAGTAGTAGTAACGTTTCTTCAGCTAAAATACAGGATATAATTTGATAAATATAAAAATTGCAAACATTTTTCTAAAATTTAATTTGTTAATTTTTCTTATATTTTAACAATTTTTCAAAACCATAAGTAAGCTACTCAAAATTTGATATATAGTTTCCTTACGTCAAAAGTGTTTAATGATGAGGTTATATCGGTTTTAATTTTAACTTTCACGTAGGTGAATTTTATAGGGACAAAAATGTCTGCTCTCAGACAATGTTTTTTTCGGATAGCAGTACTAAACAGTTTTTCTAAGCTTAAAAATATATCACAAACCTGTTCTTTAATTAAGCAGTTTTCTAGTCTTAGACTGTCTACTGCTACTACATCTATACTAGCCCAGGGGTCGGCAACCTGCGGCTCGCGAGCCGCATGCGGCTCTTTTGATATCAAGATGCGGCTCTCCAGCTTCTTGAACAAATACTAATAATCTTAATAAAAAAATAAAATATTTGAAATAAAACAAATGTTAGTGGCTCTTTAAAACCAGGGAAAATTTGAAAATTGTAACTTTTGGCTCTTCCGCTTCAAAAGGTTGCCGACCCCTGTACTAGCCAATCATAAACTGCCAGCATCATGTCCAGTTCATTCATCAACGAGCTTTCACACATCTCCACCTGCTCAAGATTTGATCGCAAAGATGTTTGGGGGGAGACAAAGGCGTAGCGACCCTTCCCGGCGCCCGGGGACAAACTCAAGATTTCGATTTGCAGCCCCCTCAACCTTTCAATTTATTTTTCCAACCCATTTTGGCGCCCCCTAAGGTCGGCGCCCAGGGACATATGTTCCCCCCGCCCCTACCCCTCGCTACGCTACTAAGGGGAGACAAGTGTATTATCTGGCCGACCCTACAGATTGGATGAGTTACGTTTAAAGAGCAACCAGGACATTCACAAGCTCTGGTATGTGCTGTTGAAAGAGAGGAACATGCTGCTGACCATCCAAGAGGAGTACCACAGAAACGTGGAGCTGTTTCCTAATCCAGAGAGAATCACAAAGGTTGAAGAGAGTGTGGAGAACATCCTGGAAGTGGTCAAAGAAAGAGACAATGCCGTCTCACTTCTAGAGACAGGCAAACCAGCAGGGTCTGGTGGCGCCTACGTCAGAGATCAGAGGCGTAGCGACCCTTCCCGGCGCCCGGGGACAAACTTTTCGATTTCCTCGAGATTTCGATTTGCACCCCCCCCCCCCCCCTCAAACTTTCGATTTGCACCCCCCCCCCTCGAGATTTCGATTTGCAGCCCCCTCAACCTTTCAATTTATTTTTCCAACCCATTTTGGCGCCCGGGGACATATGTCCCCCCCCGCCCCCCCCCCCCTCGCTACGCTACTTTCAGAGACTTAATAGGCCGGGTGGTGTGGCGCAACTTCAAGGAGTACGGCATCCCCCCCCCCCCCACACACACACACGAACAAAGACTACAGGCTGCTGTACCCAAGGTTGTTTAAGAAGGTTCACCTGAGGTTTCTGCCGCTGTGGCGCGAGAAGGTGGCCAAGCAACGCTGGTACAGGTACAGGTACAACCAGCGGAGGGCGGATGTACAAGAAGCTGGAGGAAAAGTTCCCACATTTGGAAGGGAAGTTGCGGGCGGAGAAAACCTGAGGAGCCCAGAATTATTTGAAGCTAAGAGCACAAGAATGTTTCATCTATTGTACAATAAAAAGTTTGAAGAAAAAAAAATGAAAATTCTAAAGTCCCTCCAGATTGGCCTGACTTTGAATAACTCTAAATGTACAAAATTTGTCACAGTGGAAATCTGCAAGTTCCACCCATACAGAAGCGTAGCGAGGGGGGGGGGGGACCACGGGGGGGTGGTGCGTACCGCACCGGGTGACACCATTTAGGGGGGTGACACCAAGGCAAAAAATAGCAAAATATATAGAAAAAAATTTGAGGTGAGGGCTGCAAATCGAAAATTGAAAGTTTGTCCCTGGGAAGGGATGACACCCGACCTCGCTACGCCACTGCACCCGTATGTTAATATGTTATGCATCCCCTTGCGTATCTTCAGCAGGAAAGACCTAAATATGGGTAAACTGTAGCCCAACATTTCTTATAATTTTTTTTGTGTCAAATTATTTATAAAAAATGTTTGCATCATACATTGACTTTCTTTTATGTACTGTTTTATAGTTCCTTAATTATAACTATTATGGTAAAAAAAAATTTCGTCAATTTTCCATTGTCTGGGTGATACTTCCCCCTTAAGGCAAACCACCCGATCGACTATCAGACTACTTTCCTCTTCCCCCCTAGACAAAATACTACTTACGCTACTGTCTGGTCAGCAGAGTTTCTTCCAGGCATATCTTCAGGGGGGGGGGGGCTCTGCCGAAGAAAGTCTACCGCCCCCCCCCCCGAACAAAATGGAATTTATATAGAAAACATATACTTTTACCAGTGTCCGCCCCCGGAAAATGTCCCGCCCCCCCCCCCCCCCGAAAATATCTAGTGCACCCCCGGAGAAAAAAGTCTGGAAGAAACACTGCTGGTCAGTTTTTACACTTAACAAACGTGCAGCAGATATGTAATGTGCGGGCGTCCATTTTACATTCAAACTTCACAACACCAGAGGCGTAGCGACCCTTCCCGGAGCCCGGGGACAAACTTTCGATTTGCACCCCCCCCCCCTCAAGCTTTCGAATTGCACCCCCCCCCCCTCAAACTTTCAATTTGCACCCACCCTCAGTCTTTCAATTTATTGTTCTAACCCATTTTGGCGCCCCCTAAGGTCGGGGCCCGGGGACATGTGTGTGTCCCCCCCCCCCCCGTCCTCGCTACGTCTCTGCACAACACAGTACCTTTTTTTTAAAGAAAAAAATACTCTACTTATCAGGGGTAAAAACAAGAGTGTCAACGAAGCGAACATAAAATAACACATTTATTAAACAAACAAATAATCAATCTTCTAGTTTAAAAATCTCTCTCGGCGACTTTCGGTCTAGACATCGCAAAAAAATGGCCCTCACTAAAGGGACGCGACTAACATAACTCGTCCAACTGGATAAATCTTAAATTATTTTTAGTACGAAAAGGGAGGGGATCGGGTTTGGCTTTGTATTTTTAATTCCCAACATCGTAGACAAGAAAGTTTTTGATCTTAGTTTCCGCACATCAGCGTACGACACACATTTTTATGTAACAATTTCTTCATCGTCTCTACAATCTTGCTGGTATGATCCTATTATAGTATCGAATCCCTAGGCGATTCATTGATTGAGCTACTCCTATTCTAAGAAATGGAATTTATATAGAAAACATTAACTTTTACTAGTGTCTCAGCCTCCCCCCTTCCTCCCGAAAATATCAAGTGCCACTCCCCTCCCGTAGAAAAAAGTCTGAAAGAAACACTGTATGGAAAAATCTTAGTAAAATAGATAAGAACAACTTGCCGTAACCATTATCAGAATGGTAGTTGGTGGGTGGGGAGAGAAACGAGGGTTAAACTGTTTGTTGTCGTTATAATGGGACTTCCCTTGGTGATTTTTCAGGGGTTAAAAGCAGTAAAGTTGTGGAATGTTATTTGTATACACACCTACACCTACACCTGCACCCACACCTACACCTACACCTATACCAAAAACACCTATATCTACACCTACGCCTACGCCTACGCCTACGCCTACGCCTACGCCTACGCCTACGCCTACGCCTACGCCTACGCCTACGCCTACGCCTACGCCCACGCCCACGCCCACGCCCACGCTTACGCCTACGCCTACGCCTACGCCTACGCCTACGCCTACGCCTACGCCTACACCTACGCCTACACCTACGCCTACACCTACACCTACACCTACACCTACACCTACACCTACACCTACAAATTAGTACCTACAAATAGATATACAACTACTCATAAAAACATGGTGAGAATGAATTAAGTTTTTATTTTTCGCCGACCCGTTGAAAGGATCGGCATGTGAAATCTATATGCTTTAACTCCCTAACCTCTTGATGTATTGTGTAAAGCTAGGGCGCTGTGAAATTAAATAAACCACTTGATGGATGAGTGGTTTTTGTGTGTTAAAGTGAGTGGTGGGGGGGGGGGGGAGTCTCTGCGTGATTTCAGATCACAACAGATGACACGAAAATAGAAAAATGATTTTACAAGGCATTGCTATTATTCTGTGCTCAACGCTTCAGTGAAACTGCAGTTACCAAAATTCCGAATGTGCATATTATATATATATATATATATATATATATATATATATATATATATATATATATATATATATATATATATATATATATATATATATATATATATATATATATATATATATATATATACATACATACATACATACATATATATATATATATGGAGAAGGAAATTGGGGCTTTATGTACTCCACCTAGTAAACATTCAGACAAATCATAAAGAACATTTTTTTTTTCAGACTGTTTATATTTACTTTTTTCCAGGCTAAGCTCGACACAGGAGGTATCTAAGATCTCAGCACCATGTTTAGATTCGGTTCTCTGGGCTCAGGACAGACTGGACGTTTAGGCTCCAACTGGTCAGGGCATCGTCCCTCTTACAGGTCAGATGTTTACATTTGGTACTCGCTATGTGTTGTATTGTTTAAAAGAAAAGTGTAAATCTGAAGATCCTTTTGCTTATCTACTTTTATCAGCAGTCTCTGTACGTGACATAGTTTGTTGCTATTGTTGTATCCACCCACATCATCAGTCTCTGTACGTGACATAGTTTGTTGCTATTGTTGTATCCACCCACATCATCAGTCTCTGTACGTGACATAGTTTGTTGCTATTGTTGTATCCACCCACAGCAGCAGTCTTCGGCCATTTCCGGTTCCCAGTTTTGTCAACTACTATCTGTACGGCTCCACTGACGGCAACAAGCCGGCGACAACCAAACCTGGCACGGCAGCGCAGATTGCTCCAAGTGAGTTCAAAGTGGTGGTGTCCCTTTACCTTGACCGCCTAAACCTAACCTTTTTCTTTGGTTATATGGAACCAGAGGCGTAGCGACCCTTCCCGGCGCCCGGGGACAAACTTTTCGATTTGCACCCCCCCCCCCTCAAGATTTCGATTTGCAGCCCCTCAAACTTTCAATTTGCACCCCCCCCCTCAACCTTTCAATTTATTTTTCCAACCCATTTTGGCGCCCCCTAAGGTCGGCGCCCGGGGACAAATGGTCCCCCCCCCCCTCGCTACGCTACTGTAGGGAACTTAGGGTTAACCCCAACTTTTGTGCGAACACTAATCATGAACATAAATTTAAAGAAAATATTATACGGCAATACTATATGGTATTGTCTCTGACAACAGTGACGGGTTAAAATCATGAGAATATAATGTAAAGTCGTATCACAGTAGTAATCAAATTTAACACCATTGCATGAAGAGACTAAAAAAATAAATCTTATCATGAGAATATAATGTCAAGTCGTAAATAGTAATCAAATTATTAAAATTGCATGAAAAGACTAAAAAAATAAATCACATGAGAATATGATGTTAAGTCGTATCAGAATAGAAATCAAATTAACACCATTGCATGAAAAGACTAAAAAAATAAATCACATGAGAATATGATGTCAAGTCGTATGAGAATCGAAATAAAATTAACACCATTGCATGAAGAGACTAAAAAAAAAATAATCTAATCTTAAATCTTATTGTGACATTGAATTATAAGCAGACTCGACACTAAACAAGCGTATTATACTAACTTATACTGAATCTAATCCTAACCATAATACGTGCGTGTATACAGTGGCTTATAAAACAACATAATGCAATTTTTGACACTTAGCTTAAAGTAATCTCAGTATGCTCTTAAAAATTCAGTATTAAAAATGTAGTTTTCCTTAGTCTATTATCTGATACCTATCTGAAAGTTTAAAAATACAGTTTAATTTGTATAGTTTATTGGTATCTGATAGGCCCCTACCTATCTGAAACTTTAAAAATACGGTTTAATTTGTATAGTTTATTGCTATCTGATACCTATCTGATACCGATTAGTGGCTAATATTACAGCAGTACCTGAGTTTAGCAGTCGCTGGTAAGGTGTTGGTTTTGTTTGTTGAGACGTCGTGCCCTTCTTCCGTGACACGGAACTAGAGTATTGTGACATACACGCTATCACAGTCACATCAGTAACAAGAAATTACAGTATTGTGCCATATTCGCTATCAGAAATATAAGTTTTTTTTTTTTTTTAACATCGCCATCGACTAGCTATCATATAACGAGTTAGTACCCACCGCCCCCCCCCCCCCTACAACATTCAAGTCAGAACATGATTTTGACGATATTAAAAAAAATATTGGGGCGAGAAAAATGTAGTAGGACTACGGAAATCTCATCATTCTAGAGAAATAAAGATTGCTACAAAACTTCTTTAAAACCATTATTATGTAAAGTATCCAACTGATTTAATCATTTAAAAGAAAGATTGTGTAATATGGTTGCTTGATCATGATAAGTAGATGGAAGTAATAAAAAATGAGAATTTATTTTAAAAAATCATTGTTATACAACACTGCTCTATACCACGCCAGCCTACACCATTGAATTCAATAAAAATAACATGATAACCAGATACACTACCATTCTATCCTACCCCCCTCGACATACTTCAATAACGCCCCCCTCCCCCTTGTTGTAGCATACAGTCCCTCTGTCCATTGGCAGGAGGGGCACCCAGAGTATGTAGCATACTGTCCCACTTTCCATTGGGACCTAGGGGCACCCAGATTATGTAGCATACTGTCCCACTGTCCACTAGTACATAGGGGCACCCAGAGTATGTAGCATACTGTCCCACTGTCCACTAGTACATAGGGGCACCCAGAGTATGTAGCATACTGTCCCACTGTCCACTAGTACATAGGGGCACCCAGAGTATGTAGCATACTGTCCCACTGTCCACATTGGGACCTAGGGGCACCCAGAGTATGTAGCATACTGTCCCACTGTCCACTAGTATATAGGGGCACCCAGATTATGTAGCATACTGTCCCATGGTCCACTAGTACATAGGGGCACCCAGAGTATGTAGCATACTGTCCCACTGTCCACTAGTACATAGGGGCACCCAGATTATGTAGCATACTGTCCCATGGTCCACTAGTACATAGGGGCACCCAGAGTATGTAGCATACTGTCCCACTGTCCACTAGTACATAGGGGCACCCAGAGTATGTAGCATACTGTCCCATGGTCCACTAGTACATAGGGGCACCCAGAGTATGTAGCATACTGTCCCACTGTCCACTAGTACATAGGGGCACCCAGATTATGTAGCATACTGTCCCATGGTCCACTAGTACATAGGGGCACCCAGAGTATGTAGCATACTGTCCCACTGTCCACTAGTACATAGGGGCACCCAGAGTATGTAGCATACTGTCCCACTGTCCACTAGTACATAGGGGCACCCAGATTATGTAGCATACTGTCCCATGGTCCATTGGGACTTAGGTTCGTAGTCCTACTAGGACATAGGCCGCCAACAAGAGCCTTGCTGGTTCTTGACTAGTGTCTTCAGCTATTCCTATGATAACCCATCTTTATTGATTCTTCAGTTGTTTCCATGGTAACAGATATTTCTTAGTTCGCTCTCCAATCCCCGTCCTTTCGTCAGTCTGATATCAAATTTAAAGCGTAACGACAATTGTTCCAGAGCCCGACCATGATTCCACAGTTACAAAACCAGACCCGAGCAAGGTACTCACGGTGGACAGCCTTGACCTCAAGGTCACGGAAAACACCAAGGCTCACCACACGGACGAGTACGACATCAGCCAGGCCAAGACTGACCCCAAGTTGGTGGTGAGGCGAGGTCAGCCGTTCAACATAGAGATCAAGTTCTCCAAGGGATACAACCAGGAAATTGACGATTTGCGCATTGTGTTCGAGGCAGGTTAGTGTCCCTTGTTGAATAAATTTTACCTTTAACCATGATCGAGTTTTCGATATTAAAAAAAAATAATTCTTTATTCCACTTCAACATTATTTACCGCATTAATATGATTGGATGCAGGAAAATAGTTAAATAATTATCATTTAAATAGACTCCGCTAATATTAATAGGAAAAACAACAATTCCTTCTCTCAATGTAGTAATTTACATTTACAAACTAGCGGTTTATGAAGCAGATGAAGTCCGGTTCACCTGTTTGTATGAACTCGGCTAATAAATTGCCTAACCGTATTTACTTTTCTTAGCGTTATGTACCCAACAATAATTAAGAGCGCGCGGGATCCGAACTCTAGACTTGCAGGTTAGCAATTGTGCTTTCTACCGCCCTAGCACGCCGACACCAGTATACTAACGAGATGTTCACTAACTTCCTATAGGACTAGTCGAACCGCGGGCTGGAGTGGTGAAGTAAAGGCTTTAAGACGCCATCTTAAACCTAGCTGAAACATGAGCCTATTAAACCTATTAATTAACTTTCTGATTGTTGATAGTATGTTAGTGGATTTATCCGATTAAAAAAAAAAAGAAAATTCGCTCTGATAATCAATTTTCCATTTTTGTGTAGGTTCCAATCCATCGGTCACCCAAGGCACCAGTGTTGAGTTCATCTTATCAGACGACGACGAACCAAAGAAATGGGGCGCCAAGATTGATTCACAGAAGGTGAGAGGTTGTTCGTTCATGACGTCTGTCATACACATACTGTCAGACAAATACTACACTGTCATACAGGAAAATAAAAGACATATACTACACTGTAAAACAGGACAATAAAAGACATACACTACACTGTAATACAGGACAATAAGAGACAGATGCTACACAGTAATACAGGACAATAATAGACGGATGCTACACAGTAATACAGGACAATAAAAGACAGATGCTACACAGTAATACAGGACAATAAAAGACATATGCTACACAGTTATACAGGACAATAACAGACAAATACTAACTAGACTGTAAAACAGCATAGTAACATCAACAACACGAAAACAGACACAACATTTGCAATACAGCTGGTCAGTTATCAGTCACGCTGGCCAGGTTGTTTACCGTTGTGGTGACCTTGATCTTTGGTCTCGGTTCTTTAATTACGACCCCCCCCCCCCCAACTTCGAGTCTAAGTGTCTGCCGTCTGAGAATGTTACGACCCCTCTTTCTTTTAATTGAATGATTTCATTAAAGCATTGTCACTGTTCTTTCAGTTGTATGTTGTCATACAACCTTAACATCGCACGTGTTATGTATCACACTTGTTTACCAATACTCATTAAAAAGATATAGCCCATCAGTAGCGTCATAACGCGGGGGCTGGGGTACGGTTCGCAACAAGCGACACCCCCTTGTGACGCCATTGTTGACAATAATGTTACAAACTTACTCCCCCACAGGACACGACACTGACCGTCACCGTGTTCACCCCTCCCACCTGCTACGTCGGAAAGTGGACGCTGAAGATTGACGTGGTCAAGAAAGTTGACCGTGACGTCAACATTTTCAGATACCAGCACAGAGATCCAATATACATCATCTTCAACCCGTGGTGCAAAGGTAAAACAGCCGTCGCCTGTTTCATTACATTAAATCAGGGGTTCCCAACCTTTTTTTACTCTAGAGCACATTCTAAAATATCGGTAGGGTGGCGGGCACCACCTATTTTAAATCGACAAACTCCTTCTAGAGGCGTAGCGACCCTTCCCGTCACCCGGGGACAAAACTTTCGATTTGCACCCCCCCCCCTCAAACTTTCGATTTGCACCCCTCACCCTCAAACTTTCGATTTGCACCCACCCCTCAAACTTTCGATTTGCATCCCCTTCAACCTTTCAATAATGTTTATGAAATAAATTCTGTCTCTGTCGAATAGTGAGAGGCGGGCACATACGAATCGTTCGGCGGGCGCCATGGCGCACGCGGGCACGGGGTTGGGAACCCTGCATTAAATGAATATTTTTTTCTTCTGACGATTTCTACACGCCTCTCCTCGTTATCATTCATTGTCATAAAAATCCAGAACCTTCGCTAAATAACGTCACACTTCAAGCCCCCCCCCCCCCCCCCCCCCCCCCACTCCCTCTTTTTGAAACAGGTAATTTTTATTTTTATTTTTAACTGGATAGGATGTATTAATCTAACTTTAAATTACAATTTACAAAATAGTATTTATGCAAAATAAATGCCGCATTTCATCCACAAAAATTACTTTTTAAAATGCATGTAGGACGTTGTACTTTATTACACCCCACCCCCACCTCCCCACCCTTTCAGATAATGTCAAAAAATTAAAACGAAACGAGCGAAGTTCATTATCCTAGTATTTTATTTGGTTTCACATGGGATTTATTTTTTATTATGGATTTTGCTTTGCTTACATATGAGTGTTTAATTAGGTTAGCTAATGAGTTAATTATAAATTTGCTACAGATGACGCCGTGTACATGGAGAAACAGGAACAGCTGAATGAGTACATCCTGTGTGAGACAGGCGGCATCTATGTGGGCAGTGAGAACAGTGTGAGTTACAGGCCATGGAGCTTCTCCCAGGTAAGTGGTGGGGTGGGGGTGTAGGGGTGGGGGTGTAGGGTGGGGGTGTAGGGTGGGGGCATTTATGTGGGGAGTGAGAACAGTGTTAGTTACAGGCCATGGAGCTTCTCCCAGGTAAGTGGTGGGGTGGGGGTGTTTGGGTGGGGGTGTAGGGTGGGGGTGTAGGGTGGGGGCATCTATGTGGGCAGTGAGAACAGTGTTAGTTACAGGCCATGGAGCTTCTCCCAGGTAAGTGGTGGGGTGGGGGTGTAGGGGTGGTGGGTGGGGGTGTAGGGTGGGGGTGTAGGGTGGGGGCATCTATGTGGGCAGTGAGAACAGTGTTAGTTACAGGCCATGGAGCTTCTCCCAGGTAAGTGGTGGGGTGGGGGTGTAGGGGTGGTGGGTGGGGGTGTAGGGGTGGGGTGGGGTGGGGGCATCTATGTGGGCAGTGAGAACAGTGTTAGTTATAGGCCTTGGAGCTTCTCCCAGGTAAGTGGTGGGGTGGGGGTGTTTGGGTGGGGGTGTAGGGTGGGGGTTTAGGGTGGGGGCATCTATGTGGGCAGTGAGAACAGTGTTAGTTACAGGCCATGGAACTTCTCCCAGGTAAGTGGTGGGGTGGGGGTGTAGGGGTGGGGTGGGAGAAAGGGGGGCGGGGTGGGGGTGTAGGGGTGGGTTGGGGGCATTTATGTCGGGAGTGAGAACAGTGTTAGTTACAGGCCATGGAGCTTCTCCCAGGTAAGTTTGGTGGGGTGGGGGTGTAGGGGTGGGGACGTAGGGGTGGTGGGTGGGGGTGTAGGGGTAGGGTGGGAGAGTGGGGGGTGGGTGGGTGGGTGTGTTAGGGTAGGGTAATGCGTTGGTATTTGGTATGTATGTTGAATGCACAGGAAGCGAGATAGAGAGATTTAGACTTTTAGTTTTAGCGAAGAGTAAAGAAGATCAAAAAGTTAGGAAGTGGCCTAACTTTTTCATGAATGATGCAAAGAAGTTCTTAGTGGATGGTTTTTTTTTTAGTGTGTGAAATTAAACTGAGATAATTGAGCGAATTTTTCTGTAAATACAGTTGGCTACTTTCATTATTATAACTATTGCCACTGGATATGTATGCTATTAATTACCAAATTGACTTGTGATGTGTGCACGTTTGTCTGCAATCGTCCGCTACACAATCACGTGACATCAACAGTTCGACTCCTGTGTCCTGGACGTGGCACTGTATCTGCTGGACAAGTCTGGCATCAACTGGGCCGTCAGGGGGAACCCCATCCCCATCGTCCGCAAGCTGTCGGCATTGGTGAGTCTACGTCATGGTTGGTAGCAGCAATCAGGTAGGTATACCCCACCCATAGGCCTATACCTAACACAGGGACCACACTACACCAGCACCTCTTAGTGTCATCCACCCACCGACCCCACCCACCCACCTATGTGCCCACCTACCACAACCACCCACATATGTGCCCACCGACCCACCCACCCACATAAGTGCCCACCGACAACCTATGTGCCCACCGATCCCACCCACCCACATATGTGCCCACCGATCCCACCCACCCACATAAGTGCCCACCGACCCACATATGTGCCCACCGACCCCACCCACCCACATAAGTGCCCACCGACCCCACCCACCCACATAAGTGCCCACCGACAACATATGTGCCCACCGATCCCACCCACCCACATAAGTGCCCACCGACCCCACCCACCCACATAAGTGCCCACCGACCCCACCCACCCACATAAGTGCCCACCGACAACATATGTGCCCACCGATCCCACCCACCCACATAAGTGCCCACCGACCCCACCCACCCACATAAGTGTCCACCGACAACATATGTGCCCACCGATCCCACCCACCCACATAAGTGCCCACCGACCCACATATGTGCCCACCGATCCCACCCACCCACATAAGTGCCCACCGACCCACATATGTGCCCACCGACCCCACCCACCCAAATAAGTGCCCACCGACCCCACCCACCCACATAAGTGCCCACCGACAACATATGTGCCCACCGATCCCACCCACCCACATAAGTGCCCACCGACCCCACCCACCCACATAAGTGCCCACCGACAACATATGTGCCCACCGATCCCACCCACCCACATAAGTGCCCACCGACCCCACCCACCCACATAAGTGCCCACCGACAACATATGTGCCCACCGATCCCACCCACCCACATAAGTGCCCACCGACCCCACCCACCCAAATAAGTGCCCACCGACCCCACCCACCCACATAAGTGCCCACCGACAACATATGTGCCCACCGATCCCACCCACCCAAATAAGTGCCCAACGACCCCACCCACCCACATAAGTGCCCACCGACAACATATGTGCCCACCGATCCCACCCACCCACATAAGTGCCCACCGACCCCACCCACCCAAATAAGTGCCCACCGACCCCACCCACCCACATAAGTGCCCACAGACCCCACATATGTGCCCACCGATCCCACCCACCCAAATAAGTGCCCAACGACCCCACCCACCCAAATATGTGCCCACCGATCCCACCCACCCAAATAAGTGCCCAACGACCCCACCCACCCAAATATGTGCCCACCGATCCCACCCACCCACATAAGTGCCCACCGACCCACATATGTGCCCACCGACCCCACCCACCCAAATAAGTGCCCACCGACCCCACCCACCCAAATAAGTGCCCACCGACCCCACCCACCCACATAAGTGCCCACCGACAACATATGTGCCAACCGATCCCACCCACCCACATAAGTGCCCACCGACCCCACCCACCCAAATAAGTGCCCACCGACCCCACCCACCCACATAAGTGCCCACCGACAACATATGTGCCCACCGATCCCACCCACCCAAATAAGTGCCCACCGATCCCACCCACCCAAATAAGTGCCCACCGACCCCACCCACCCACATAAGTGCCCACCGATCCCACCCACCCACATAAGTGCCTACCTATCTAATATTGTAACCTTGACCAAATCTCATGTTGTAACCTTGACCAAACCTCATATTGTAACCTTGACCACATCTCATGTTCTAACCTTGACCTAACCTCATGTTGTAACCTTGACCTCATCTACCAACAGATCAACGCACAGGACGACAACGGCGTGCTGGAGGGCAGCTGGTCAGGCAACTACCCGGGTGGTCAGTCACCCGTCTCCTGGACCGGCTCGGGGAAGATTCTGGAAAAATACTGGAAAACAAAAACGCCGGTGAAATATGGACAGTGCTGGGTCTTTTCCGGATTAGGCACAACCCGTAAGACCCCAGACCCACCCCCTCAAACAACCGTGTTATGTTTTTTTTTTAAATTGTTTCTTATCAATAAAATCTTATATTCACTTAGTTATCGGTATGTTAGAAAATATATTGGAAGTTTACAAGTTTATTGAGTTAACTCTACTAAGTAGGCCTGTAGGGCTGGTAAGTAGGTCACCAGCCAGTTCTATGGCTCATGCAGGTTTTATTGAGCCGTAGAACTGGTTCGTGACCTACTTACCAGCCCTATAACTAAGTCAAACTTGGCTATTTGCAAGTGTGTCGTACCCTGGGAATTCCCGCACGAAGCGTCACCAACTTCGAGTCGGCGCATGACACGGACGGGTCCATTACAATAGACTACATCAACGTGGCCGGAGGCTGGAAGAACGAGCGGGACTCTGTGTGGTAGGTGGAACAGTCTAGGTTAGGGGTCGTGTGTCTGACACTTTGAGATGGGGAAGCCCCCCCCCCCCCCCCCGAAGAGATGACTGAAAGAAACACTGTTCCAGGGGTTATTAAAATTTCCTGGGGGGGGGGGCACTAGTTAAAAGACATATTTTTTATATTAGGTTTATTTATATTTTTTTATTTCCTTCTATTTCGTCTGTATTGGGGGCAGTGTTTCTTCCAGACTATTTTCTCCGGGGGAGGGGGGGCACTTGACATTTTCGGGGGGGGGGGGGGGGGGCGGTAGACTTTCTTCGGGTGGGGGGGGGCGGACACTGTTAAAAGTATATATTTTCTATATAAATTATATAAATTTCATTTCGTTCGGGGGGGGGGGGGGGCGGTAACAAACTCTGATTAGGGGTGGGGGGGGGGGATTGCTGGTGGAGGGAGGGAAGGACGTGTTCCATAAAGTTAAAGTTAATTTACTTACGACATTACGTTGTGAGCACGCCTGTACCAAAAAAAAAAGTAATTCCGCACTGAAATTTCGTATGGTACCCTAGGAATTTCCATGTATGGAACGAGGCTTGGATGTCAAGGCCGGACCTGCCTGAGGGTTATGGCGGCTGGCAGGCATTCGATGCCACCCCACAGGAAACCTCTGACGGTAAGTTTTTTAACACGAATTTTTTAGCGCAATTTCCATAATGGGATTGCGATTATTAACTCGTCATTTCTGGATTGCTGTGTGTCCGCAGCCTTTAAGTAGTATCTCCTCCTCAACGAAGCAATATCGAGGACTAGTTCCAAAAGCAAATATGTTAAGCAAGTTTCGAGGATGAACATAGGCCAAAAAAATTTCCGGAATTCCTTCCTGGATTTCCCGGAAAAGCCAAAAAAAAAAAACTCGAAAAAAAATGCAGTTTTTGGCCCATATCTCGGCAACCAGACCACTTAGCGACTTGAAACATTTACCAATCGATTCCTGCCATAATTTAGAACAATATTGCCGAAGAAAGTTTTCAAAAATATCCTTTCGTTCGGTCACAAAATTTTTTAAAAAATTACATAAACACCTACAAACCGATCGTTCTCCTAGCTTGAACGCACCCCATATCTATTTTTAGATAACATAAGGTAATTGCGCTTAAATTGTCACTAGACTTTTTATTAACTTGTTTTTTTACATATTCCAAAATTTATTACACATTAGCTACTTTACATGCAGATTTAGGTCAAATATTCGAGAAAAATATATACACACAATTTCCCTCAATGAGAGAATACACAAAATAGTGTATTTTGACCATGAGATTGGAAATCAAAATCAATCACAGTTAACATCCCTAATTACTAAAACAACTTCATAAAGCTGTTTAGTTTTTTCCCTCAAATACTGAATAGTTTAAAATTAAAGCCTAAAAATACATTTATTGTTGGCAAGTATAAATAAACCGGGAGTGATCTCCCCTAAACTTTCTCGAATATTCTTATATAAAACAACAGGGGATGGGAACTCGGGCTATTGACATGATTTTTAATCCATTTTAAATACTTAAAGTTTTAAAAATAGATTAAAATCTCGTAGACAAAATAATTGCACGCCAAGTGAACTAGTGAACGCCAAATAAAAAAGTGTACAATAGCGCGCAATATTATTAGTACTTTAAAAATTTACATTAGTTTTTTGAGAAATCAGAAGTAGCGTAAATTACTACTTCCGGTCAACGGAAATTACTCAAAATTTAACAGAAGGTAGAGAATTAGATCTTTTACTTACATGTGAAATTTCATTTATCTATCTGAAATAGTACTCAAGTTATAGGCTTTTGAAAAATTCAAAGTAGGAAAAGTACCACTTCCGGTTATCGGAAATCGCTCAAAAGTTGATACGGATCTACGATTTTGATAAAATACTTATATATGAAATTTCATCAACCTAGCTATAACGGTACTCAAGTAATCGTGTTTACACACGGACACACACACAGACACACAGACATACGGACAGAATTGCAAAGCCCAGTTTTTCAGACTGGATTACGCATAAAACCTCTTAATTTTGATAAATCTGGATTGATAATTTTTTCCCGATTAAAATAAGTCCTCTATACTTCGGATGTGATGAAGGACTGAGGTGTAATACGGTGAAAATTGTTAAAATTTCAAGTGATTTTTGTGCACGATTACAATACTTTCTCTATACTTCGTATATACGAGAAAGTAAAAAATGGACATTGATGTTAAATTGTTGAACAAAAAAAATTACTTGATCAATTTAAAAAGTTTAAAAGAAGTAAAATAATTTATGAGATAGTCCATCTGTTGCTAACTATTATTGACAAGAAGTAGATCTACACAGATGTGTAGACAGAAATACAAACACACTAAAGCTTAGGGGGGATGCTAAGTAAAAACTTGAGATATGTTATACAAGCTAAGTTGTGACTTTATTACTAAGGCATGGAGTTTAACCCTTACTTTTCATAACAGCCAACCTTCAACAGAACTGTAAAAAGTACCAAAAAGTTTTTTTTTTCATGTTTTCATTTCTCATCAAATTACAACCTTCGAAGTTCTTTCTCTTCAAATGATGCTGGTGAATGACACATAACAGGTGTAAAAAGTCTAAGAATTGTCTGTGTAAGTTGAAATAAAAAGTAAACATTCAGTAGCGTGGTTTCTTAGTATGCATGGTTGGCCACAAAGAGAGATTCGCCAGTGGCAGCGCCATCACCACCACCCTGGTACTGACCCACAGCAGCAGCACCGTCAGCCCTAGCACGTTTCAACAATTCTTCCTGTCCAGCTTTGAAGCCACTGTCTGTTCCAGCCCAAGCCTTCAACACACTAGCCTGTAATGCACGGCCGTATGAGAAAGTGAGTGGCCAGGGTTTGCGTCCAGCAAACTGGTTAATAGCATTTAAGTTGATTGTTGCATCTTCTTCTGATTGACCACCAGAAAGGAAGGTTATAAAAATACTAGCAGCTGGCACAGTCCTGTTGAGAGCAGTCACGGTTGCCCTAGCGATGTCTTCAGATGTGTATTTCTTAGTGCAGCCCTGGCCGGCTGTCACCATGTTGGGTTTCAACAGAGTTCCCTACAAGAAGATGTTGTGGTCAGCCAGAGCCTTGTAAGTGAATGCAAGGACCTGTTCTGTAACCCTTTATGCTGTCACTAGATCAGGGGTTCCCAACCCTGTGCTCGCGGGCGCCATGGCGCCCGCTGAACGATTCTTATGTGCCCGCCTCTCACTATTCGACAGAGACAGAATTTTTTTCATAAACATTGTTTCAAAATATGATTTATTTTTAATTTTTTTTGACTGCCTAGGTTTATTAAATATGTTCGATACTTGTCCCAACTTGTCTAGCGGCGAGCCAGACTGCACTATTTACGCTAGCCTGGAACGGCTAGTGCCATTTGCACATCATACCTTGTACACGCAGAAAACCTTTCTTTACGTTTTGTAACTACATTTCTCTGTGAGTATGCAATTTGAAAAAAATGCCAAATAATTTTATTATTTTGAAACATTTTTGTTTATTATTTATTAATACATTATGACTACAAGAAAATAAGAAAATAAATTATTGGGAAAATGACAAGTTATGGAAGGAGTTTGTCGATTTAAAATAGGTGGTGCCCGCCACCCTACCGATATTTTAGAATGTGCTCTAGAGTAAAACAAGTAATTAAAGCAAGTTAATTAAAAAAGTCTAGTGACATTTATACGCAATTTCCTTATGTTATCTAAAAATAGCTCTGACGTATAATGCTGAGGTGCGTTCAAGCTAGAAAAACGATCGGTTTGTAGGTGTTTATGTAATTTTAAAATTTGTGACCGAACGAGAGGATATTTTTGAAAACTTTCTTCGGCAATATTGTTCTAAATTATGGCAGGAATCGATTGGTACATGTTTCAAGTCGCTAAGTGGTCTGGTTGCCGAGATATAGGCAAAAAACTGCATTTTTTCGAGGTTTTTTTGGCTTTTTCGTGAAATTTCTTAGTGCAGCCCTGGCCGGCTGTCACCATGTTGGGTTTCAACAGAGTTCCCTACAAGAAGATGTTGTGGTCAGCCAGAGCCTTGTAAGTGAATGCAAGGACCTGTTCTGTAACCCTTTGTGCTGTCACTAGATCAGGGGTTCCCAACCCTGTGCTCGCGGGCGCCATGGCGCCCGCTGAACGATTCTTATGTGCCCGCCTCTCACTATTCGACAGAGACAGAATTTTTTTCATAAACATTGTTTCAAAATATGATTTATTTTTAATTTTTTTTGACTGCCTAGGTTTATTAAATATGTTCGATACTTGTCCCAACTTGTCTAGCGGCGAGCCAGACTGCACTATTTACGCTAGCCTGGAACGGCTAGTGCCATTTGCACATCATACCTTGTACACGCAGAAAACCTTTCTTTACGTTTTGTAACTACATTTCTCTGTGAGTATGCAATTTGAAAAAAATGCCAAATAATTTTATTATTTTGAAACATTTTTGTTTATTATTTATTAATACATTATGACTACAAGAAAATAAGAAAATAAATTATTGGGAAAATGACAAGTTATGGAAGGAGTTTGTCGATTTAAAATAGGTGGTGCCCGCCACCCTACCGATATTTTAGAATGTGCTCTAGAGTAAAACAAGTAATTAAAGCAAGTTAATTAAAAAAGTCTAGTGACATTTATACGCAATTTCCTTATGTTATCTAAAAATAGCTCTGACGTATAATGCTGAGGTGCGTTCAAGCTAGAAAAACGATCGGTTTGTAGGTGTTTATGTAATTTTAAAATTTGTGACCGAACGAGAGGATATTTTTGAAAACTTTCTTCGGCAATATTGTTCTAAATTATGGCAGGAATCGATTGGTACATGTTTCAAGTCGCTAAGTGGTCTGGTTGCCGAGATATGGGCAAAAAACTGCATTTTTTCGAGGTTTTTTTGGCTTTTTCGTGAAATCCATGAAAGAAACCCGGAATTTTTATGGCCTATGTTCATCCTCGTAACTTGCTTAACATAATTGCTTTTGTAACTAGTCATCGATATTGCTTCGTTGAGGAGGAGATACGACTTAAAGCCCGGACACACATTCATACATCCATACATTCATCCATCCATTCCCAGAAATGACGAGTTAATAAACGCAATTCTCCAGAATGGAAATTGCGTTAAAAAGGTTGGGAACCCCTGCTCTAGATCATGATCACCATCAGGCAAAACCTCTGGTTCAACAATTGGGACAAGACCATTCTGTTGGCAAATACTGGCATAACGAGCTAAAACATTAGCATTTTCAAGCATGGCCTGGTATGATGGAGTGAACTCAGAAATCTTCAAAACACATCGCCATTTAGCAAACCCACATCCTCCCTTTTTGTATTCTGCACATCTTTCGGCAAGACCGTCCAAGCCTTGTGTTGTGCATTCATTCAAACTTTCAGGGAATGGAACAACACCTTTGTCGACTTTAATACCGGGAATGATGTTTTTTTTCTTGCAAGACCTTGACAAATGGCTTTCCATAAGCTGTGCTCTGTCTAAAGGTCTCATCAAACAAGATGACACCACTGATGTTGTTGGAAACAAGATGACACCACTGATGTTGTTGGAAACAAGATGACACCACTGATGTTATTGGAAACAAGATGACACCACTGATGTTGTTGGAAATGCTGTTGTCATCTGTGAACAGGAGCTTTCTGTACTTGCGTCTGTTGTTCTCTGTGTTGGATAGATTGATGCTCTCCAGACGCTCTCCCATGGTGCCCACAGACTCATCTGCAGCTAGGATCCCCATCCCAGGTGCCACAATATCTCTTGCAATCTGACGCAGCTCATCCTCCTGGGCTGGTGTTAGGTACTGTGTAAAGCGAGACTTGGATTTTGCCATTGTTGATTCTAAAATGTTTTAACTTCGTCCGTGGTACAAAGTTTTAAAACACGTAGCTTAGGCAATCAAAACATAGATACCCATAGAGTTACGGTGAGCAATTAAATAGTTATAGTATGTTTTATTATTTATATCTAGTGAGACAATTTATTTCTCCTGTTCGTGGTATAAACTATATTTTCCAATTTTATTAATTATTTTTACGACGCATTTTAAAAGAATGATAGAAACCATGTAAGAATTTTATATTTAATTCTTAAAGATGTATATCTTAAAGATAATATTGGCTGCTCTAAAAAAATCAATTGTGTGGATGTTTATTATTTATGGAGTTGTCTCCCTGTATCATAATAAAACTTCCAGGCCTTTATCTTGTATCTCCATAAAATGTCAAAAATAACCGAAGCCAAACACGTATGATAAAAACTTGTCTATTACAGGCATATATTGCTGCGGGCCTGCCTCTGTGATTGCCATCAAAGAGGGGAGAATTGATCTGCCGTATGATGGGGCTTTTATTTTTGCTGAAGTCAACGCTGATAAAGCGTTTTGGAAACACGACAGTATGGGCAAACTTCAGTGTGTGGACCTTCTTAAAGATGTGTAGGTATTTTAAGATAGACTATCTTCATAAGGATGTGTAGTCAGTGTAGGTATTTTAAGATAGATTATCTTCATAATATGTGTAGGTATTTTAAGATAGATGACCTCCATAAAGATGTATATAGATTTTTAACATAGACGACCTTCATAAAGATGTATATGGATTTTTAATATAGTTGACCTTCATAAAGATATACATGGATTTTTAATATAGACGACCTACATAAAGATGTGTTGGTATTTTAAAATAGACGACCTTCATAAAGATATGTAGGTATTTTAAGATAGACGACCTTTAAAAAGATGTATATGTATTTTAAGATAGACGACCTTTAAAAAGATGTATATGTATTTTAAGATAGACGACCTTTAAAAAGATGTATATGTATTTTAAGAGAGACCATTTCTTTATGAGTATGTGTAGGCATTTCGTATTAGCATAGATATGTACACATATCTTCGTAGTACAGACTCTCTTTTTGAAGATGTGTACGTGTCCAGGTTAACTGTGATCTCTAAAAAGCAACTTTAAAGTGTTGATAATGTGTCTGTAAACGGTTGGGTTGATATTACAGGCTGGTAGAGCTATTTACCCAGCGTGTAAACCCAAAGTCGTATCTAGCTATACAACAAACGTTTACATTTATTCTTTCATAAAGAGAGACAAAGAGTGTCAGTGCATTTTTTTTCATGTTGAATATCACAATATCCTTGATGATGTTGTTTGATTTTGTTGCTTGATGATTTTGCTTGGTGATGTTGTTTGATGCTGTCGTTTGATGATTTTTCTTAGTGAAATTTGATGTTTTTTTTTGTGATATTTAATGATGTTGTTTTGTTTTGTGATTCCAGTGTGGGTAAACACATCAGCACCAAGGCCGTCAACAACCATCAGAGGGAAGACGTCACAGGCCATTACAAACACCCTGAAGGTGAGAGCTTAACACAGTGGCGAAAATTTGAGAGCTAAATCGAACAAAGGGGCGAGTTGTGAGAGCTTAACCAAACATAGGGGTTATAATTTGAGAGCTAAACAAACACATGGGTAGTTAACTAGCTTGTAGCCAGTTGTAGACAGTGTTTGATATTTGGTTAACTAGCCTGTAGCCCATGTTTGATATTTGGTTAACTAGCCTGTAGCCCATGTTTTATATTTAGTTAACTAGCCTGTAGCCCATTTTTTATATTTAGTTAACTAGCCTGTAGCCCATGTTTTATATTTAGTTAACTAGCCTGTAGCCCATGTTTTATATTTAGTTAACTAGCCTGTAGCCCATGTTTTATATTTAGTTAACTAGCCTGTAGCCCATGTTTTATATTTAGTTAACTAGCCTGTAGCCCATGTTTTATATTTAGTTAACTAGCCTGTAGCCCATGTTTTATATTTAGTTAGCTAGACTGTAGCCCATGTTTGATAATCTTTAAACTAGCCTGTAGCCCATGTTTGATAATCTTTAAACTAGACTGTAGCCCATGTTTGATAATCTTTAAACTAGACCACGGGTTCCCAACCTGGGGGTCGCGACCCCCTTGGGGGTCGCGAATGTCTTTCTGGGGTGTCGCCAACTGGTATACTAAACCTTAGTAATTTGAAACAAAACATAAATATTTAGAAGAATTTTTGAAATTCGGCTTCATTAACATCACTGGAAATGTACAAAGTTGTTCTCAGTCACGAGTTTATGAAATCTTCAAAACTAAAACGCCATTTGAGACGAGTCATTCGGAACACACCAAAAAATATATGGAGTTCTTTCGTCGGTAAGAAGCTAGTTGCAAACGACAGAGACTTGATCGAACAGGAAGTTTTCACCAGCATTAGTGCAAGCATCAAATGAAGTCGCGGTGAAAAATGCAATGCCGAGCATGAAAAAAAAAAAAAAAAAAAAAAAAAAAACAATAGGAGAAAATCTCATCAAACGCTGCATGTACGTAAATGTTAAATAACATATTTTTATCGAAATTAAGCTTTCACCATTGTTTGCGTTTTAAGTTGATAAATCAACAGACGAAATGTTGTAAATTGTGTTTTTGAATTGAAATCTGAAATCAAATTGTTCTTGGAAGTGCAAAGGAAACAAGACTTTTTGGTATACTTAAAACGACATAGAGTGGTTGGAGAGAGTATCATACCTAGCAGATGTGTTCGAACATCAAGATAAGCTTAACCTGAAGCTTCAGGGAAAATGAACGAATATTATAACTTTCCATGATAATCTCGGGGCCTTTTTTATCAAAGCTGCAAAATCGGTAAAGAAAATAAATCTTGGAAATATTGTAATTTGAGAAACTCTGCGGTGTGGTAGATGAATCTGATTGTGAGATAATTAAAATTTTGAAAGAAGCGATTTCTGGGCATCTTGAATCTCTTGAAAACGAACTGCATTGCTATTTCTCTGAGCTGAAAAAAGAAGAATCTGCATTGACGCATTACCCATTCTCTACTTCCCTTGATGTTGCCAGCATTCCCGATGAATTACAAGATGAATTCTTTGATTTTCAGAATGATTCCGAGTAATATGAAAAACTGCAGACACAATTTTGGTTTAGTATTCACCATTCATACCCAAACGTAAAATTGATTGACTTTTCGAGAATATATTTTCAACACTATTCTTCGATTAAAAACAAAATTAAGATAATTATAATGACATAGGTTGGCGTTAACAAAAAATGTTTTTAATTAAAAACTTAACCACGAAGGTTTAGTGAATAGTACGCAATTTTACTCATGCTATTAAAATAGTTATCAAGAGTAGTTCACATTGAAAGTCTACTAGAAAATCTTATTTTAGTGCTTATTAATTTCCATACTAATTTCGGCTTTTTAATTCTATGGGGGGGGGGGGGGGGGGGTCGCGGGTCACTTACTTTTTATAACAGGGGGTCGCCACTCGAAAAAGGTTGGGAACCACTGAACTTGACTGTAGCCCATGTTTGATAATCTTTAAACTAGCCTGTAGCCCATGTTTGATAATCTTTAAACTAGCCTGTAGCCCATGTTTGATAATCTTTAAACTAGCCTGTAGCCCATGTTTGATAATCTTTAAACTAGCCTGTAGCCCATGTTTGATAATCTTTAAACTAGCCTGTAGCCCATGTTTGATAATCTTTAAACTAGCCTGTAGCCCATGTTTGATAATCTTTAAACTAGCCTGTAGCCCATGTTTGATAATCTTTAAACTAGCCTGTAGCCCATGTTTGATAATCTTTAAACTAGCCTGTAGCCCATGTTTGATAATCTTTAAACTAGCCTGTAGCCCATGTTTGATAATCTTTAAACTAGCCTGTAGCCCATGTTTGATAATCTTTAAACTAGCCTGTAGCCCATGTTTGATAATCTTTAAACTAGCCTGTAGCCCATGTTTGATAATCTTTAAACTAGCCTGTAGCCCATGTTTGATAATCTTTAAACTAGCCTGTAGCCCATGTTTGATAATCTTTAAACTAGCCTGTAGCCCATGTTTGATAATCTTTAAACTAGCCTGTAGCCCATGTTTGATAATCTTTAAACTAGCCTGTAGCCCATGTTTGATAATCTTTAAACTAGCCTGTAGCCCATGTTTGATAATCTTTAAACTAGCCTGTAGCCCATGTTTGATAATCTTTAAACTAGCCTGTAGCCCATGTTTGATAATCTTTAAACTAGCCTGTAGCCCATGTTTGATAATCTTTAAACTAGCCTGTAGCCCATGTTTGATAATCTTTAAACTAGCCTGTAGCCCATGTTTGATAATCTTTAAACTAGCCTGTAGCCCATGTTTGATAATCTTTAAACTAGCCTGTAGCCCATGTTTGTTTAGTTTGATAATCTTTAAACTAGCCTGTAGCCCATGTTTGATAATCTTTAAACTAGCCTGTAGCCCATGTTTGATAATCTTTAAACTAGCCTGTAGCCCATGTTTGATAATCTTTAAACTAGCCTGTAGCCCATGTTTGATAATCTTTAAACTAGCCTGTAGCCCATGTTTGATAATCTTTAAACTAGCCTGTAGCCCATGTTTGATAATCTTTAAACTAGCCTGTAGCCCATGTTTGATAATCTTTAAACTAGCCTGTAGCCCATGTTTGATAATCTTTAAACTAGCCTGTAGCCCATGTTTGATAATCTTTAAACTAGCCTGTAGCCCATGTTTGCCCTCAGGTTCCGCTGCCGAGAGAGCGGCTGTCAGAAATGCCAATCAGTCCGTCTCCAACAGAACAAAACCTAACCTCTACAGCATAGCAGCTAATGTAAGTCACGTGATAGTTTACCTGTGTCCAACAGAACCTAACCTCTACAGCATGTCAGCTAACGTAAGTCACGTCATAGTTCACCTGTGTCCATAGAACAAAACATACCCTGTACAGCATAGCAGCTAATGTAAGTCACGTGATAATGCATTAGGTAAACCTCTACCCCTTACCCCTTACATCAATACCCTTTAAACACCTACTCCTTTCATCACTCCCCTTAAAAAAGAAAACCCACTTGACATAGTAAACTACCATCGCCATCGAATACCACTTTGGGTAAGGCGATATAAAATTACACCATGATGGTGTGAAGACGTGTCTATACTATAAAATGACGTACAGTTCACCATGATGATGTAAAGACTTGTCTAGCCCTGTCTATACTGTGACAGGACGTACAGTTCACCATGATGGTGTAAAGACTTTAACAAGGTCTATACTGTGACAGGACGTTCAGTTCACCATGATGGTGTAAAGACTTGTCTAGCCCTGTCTATACTGTCACAGGACGTACAGTTCACCATGATGGTGTGATGACTTGTCTATGTTATGACAGGACGTACAGTTCACCATTGTGCAAGACACTGAGAACACCTTTCTGGGCAACAACTTCGAGCTGTCGCTGGTGGTCACCAACGGCGCGAAGGTCAAGCGGACGGTCAGTGGTCAGATAGAGGTTAGCTCCATGTTCTACACAGGAGTCGTGTCGGATAAGATCAAGTCTGACCCTTTCAAGATCGTGGTTGAGCCTGGAAAAGGCAAGTATCGTATATTTTCACAAGACCGAAATACTGAATACATCATATTGTTTAACTACACTGAAAGTTCCCTATTCAAACTTAAAGTTCCATGTGATAAGTGAGTTACCTGTTTCTTTGACCTCGGCATATTATTAGAAGAGATAGTGTGGTCAGTACTATACCCAGCAGCCTTTAACTTCCCCTAGCGTGTTAGGTACCCATCAGAGCTGAGTGAACACGGGGACTTTCTACTTACTTGAACCTAGATTCGAACTCGCGACTTTCGGGTGAGCAGTCTAGTGCTCTACTACTAGGCCACTCCTTCCCTCAATAACACTGAAATCTGTAATTAATCTACATCGAGCTTTCATTTTAGCATTACTAAAGATATTTCTTGAACCCATTGTTTATGTTCTATCAGAAACAACCCACAAGCTGGTGGTGACATTGGAGGAGTATGAAAGCAAACTTAAAGACTTCTACATGCTGGACGTTTCCGTGTGGGCGGAAGTGGAGGAAACGAAACAATTCTTCATCAAGAAACAAAATTACCGGCTACGGAAACCTCATCTAAAAATAACGGTAAAAAAAATTATTGGATTGGATTTTCTGAAAATCTTTACATTATTGTTGTTCTTTAAACAAAATACCTATATTTAAGTATTTAAATAAATCTATTAAATGGTCATTGTTATAGGTATTATCTTTAAATCATGTTTTTAATCTATTCTACACACTCAACTATTTTAAAACAAACGTGCTTTAAAATATAAATAACAACTCTTTTAAGAGCACCATAAATAAGGACACAACCATTTTCTTGCCTTGGATGTAATAGTGTAAGCGCTGTTAGCTGAACATGTGTTAAAGATATTTCTTAAGCGAAATTAGTGGAAATTCTGTTACAAAGTGACTCCCTACACGCCTTTAGCAGACGAGGTTATTTAAATAATCAGTAAAAAATATAAATAAACAACTTCGGCTGCCAAGTTTATTTTTAAAATCTATCTGTACCTACTATTTGTAATAGATTGAAATAATTGTGAGGTCAAGGGAACTCACTCTTCTGTATTAGTTATATTTATAATATTGTTATCTTGAGTGATGTCCCTTGTGTACTTCCTTCCGTCCTCTCTGTGTGTTACCATCGTGATGTAGTTAGACCCAATAAATGTGTTATATACAACCACAGGCTTCTGTCGTCAATCTATTATAACTGGCGACGAAGGATAAACATCTACTAGAAAGAGCACCTACTTACGCAAAAAAGAGGTTTGCTAGAGCTTATTAGCTAATTATTTCTAGAATTATGGCGCTGTATGGCCAAATAAAAGAATTTGATGCGAATGATGAAATCATTCAAGATTACCTAGATAGGTTAAGCTTTTACCTAGAAGCTAACAACGTGACGATAGAAGCCAAAAAGAGAGCTGTTTTGTTAACAGTCATAGGGCCTCAACAATTTAGGCTACTAAAAGACTTATGCGCACCAGCTAGTCTAACTACCAAGAGCTTTAACGAGCTGAGCAAATTGCTAACAGACCACCATGCGCCTGTACCATCAAAGTTTCTATGTCGAGCTAGATTTGACAGTAGGACTCGTCAACCAAACGAGTCAATATCAGAATATGTTGCTGCTTTATGTCATCTAAGTAGATTTTGTGAATTCGGCGACACGCTGTCTGACAGACTATGTGAAAAGTTTGTGACAGGTGTAAACAGCCCTGATATTCAAAGAAAGTTGCTGCTCGAGTCAGATCTAAAATTGGAAAAAGCAATACAACTTGCAACTTTATTCCAGCAGTCATCTGATGTGGCGAGATCTTTAGCACCTTCAGAGATCCATGCAGTAAACAGCAGGTTAGTCAATAAACATCAACCCCATCAGAGCATTCCAACTTATGCTAAACAGCCTGCTCGTTCAAATCCTAGATCTAAATCTAGTAATAATTATCAAAAATGTCATCGATGCAAAGGTCCCCATGCATCTCATCGGTGCAAGTTCAAGTTAGCAACTTGTTATAAGTGCGGTAAGCAAGGTCACATTGCCAAGGCCTGCTTTGCAAAGTCTTCGTCTGTTGCTAAATCTAGCCAGTCAAGACAGTACCGCAACCAAAAGCAGCACTATGTTAACTCTCACCAAGACTACCTAACCCAACCAATGAACCACTCTACCTGTGAAAATGCTCGAACTGATTCGCAGCCGGATTTCAACCTGTTCTCTGTGAAATCAATAAGTCATGCTCCCATCAATCATCTCAATGTACCAGTTTATATCAACGGTAAGAGCATCAGCTTCCAACTTGACACTGGAGCATCTCTAACAGTCATAACAAAGAAAGATTTTGACGCTGTCACAGGAGGATCAGTGTCTCTACAGCCATGTCACAAGTGTCTAACAACATACACTGGTGACAATGTTCCGGTAATAGGAGAGTGTATGGTTCATGTAAGTTATAATGGTCAAAGTGTTAAACTTCCTCTTCTTGTGGTTGAAGGAAATGGACCGCCATTACTAGGTAGGAACTGGTTAAGTAATCTTAAGTTAAATTGGGAGAGTATTTGTTCATTGAAGAATGTAAAAGAATCTAGTCTTACTTCACTAGATAAAGTTATATCTGAAAATAAATGTGTTTTTGGTAATCATGGATTACTAAATGATAGAACAGTGAAGTTAAGCATTAAAGATACAAATCCAAGATACTGCAAAGCTAGAGTTCCACCTTATGCAATGAGGAATAAAATTGAAAATGAGCTAAGTAGATTGGAATCTAATGGCATTATAAAGAAGGTAGACTATTCCGATTGGGCGACACCCATTGTGCCAGTGTTAAAGAAGGATGGTTCTATAAGAATTTGTGGAGATTACAAAGCTACACTGAATAAGCAAATAGAGCTAAATAGGTACCCTATACCTAACATTGAGGAAATCTCTTTGAATTTGGCAGGAGGAGACAAATTCACTGAATTAGACTTTAGTCATGCTTACACTCAACTAGAACGGCATCCAGATTCAAAAGTCTATACGACAATAAACACACATAAAGGACTCTACCAATATGAAAGACTATGTTTTGGCATATCATCTAGCCCTGGAATTTTCCAAGCTGTCATGGACAATATTTTTAAGGATATTCCAAATGTTTGTGTGTACTTTGACAATGTGTACATAACTGGTAAGAATGACACTGAACATCTTAAAACACTTGGTAAAGTATTGAAAATTGTTGGTGAAAAAGGTTTAAAGATAAACAAAGATAAATGTCAATTCATGTTGACAGAAATTAGTTTTCTTGGTTATATATTGAGCAAACAAGGTATCAGACCTCAACCTGAGAAAACAAAAGCCATTAAAGAAGCACCCAAACCTGAAAATACCCAACAACTAAGAGCTTTTTTGGGCTTGATAAATTACTATGCAAAGTTCATAGGAAATCTGTCTGGTAAACTATCACCACTGTACAAGCTGCTACAGAAAAATGCAACTTGGCACTGGGGTAAACAACAAGATACTGCTTTTAATACAGCAAAAGAGGCTTTGTCTGCTGACACCTTACTAACTCACTATGACCCAGGGAAAAGACTTGTATTGACATGTGATGCTTCACCAGATGGTGTAGGAGCAGTCTTGTCCCACATGGATGAGAAGGGTGACAGACCCATTGCTTTTGCCAGTAGATCTTTGAACCAGGCTGAGAAAAATTATTCTCAGTTAGATAGGGAAGGCTTAGGCATCATTTTTGGTGTTAAGAAATTTCATAAGTTTCTGTTTGGTAGGAAGTTCACCATCTTTACAGATCATAAACCATTGCTAGGTTTATTTGGAGAAAACAAAACCCTACCTGAGCATGCCTCACCAAGAATTCAAAGATGGGCTATCACACTAACTGCATACAATTATGAATTGAAATACAAACCTGGATCTGAGAATAGTGCAGATAGTCTTAGTAGATTACCTTTAGAAAACCAAAGCCTGAGCTATGTACCAGAAGATGTATTTGTTCTCTTCACTATCATGGATAACTCCAATATAAATGTGAATGATATTAAAAGAGAAACACAAAAAGATGAGTGCTTAATAAAAGTATATGAGTACTGTAAAAATGGTTGGCCTGAAGAGTCAGTGAATGAGGACTTAAGGCCATATAAAATAAGAAAAATGGAATTAAGTCTAAAAGATGGAGAAGATACAGTCCATTATCAGTCAGAGTTGCCTAAACAAAGTATTTGTAACTTAATAAATGATTATGGTGATATGGCAATTTCAAATGTTTTAAAGAGAATACATTAGTAAGAAAGAATGTGATCATCAAACAACTTTGCTAACATCATTAGCACTTACAGAAACTAAAAGGGTAACATCAAAAGAAGAAAAAGATTTTTGCCATTTAATACACCCACTTCAAATACTGGATCACAGTTGCAAAGTGATATGGTCCAGAATATTACTCATAAACAGTATTTTTGGTTACCAAAAAGCACTATCAGATTACCTGAGGAAATTGATCAATCAAAGAAATCTATGTCAGTCAAGGATCTGAATAACAGCATAATACTTTCAGATGCCAATTCAAAAATTGTTCCATTAAATCATGACAAACATTCATTGAAAGAGAATTTGGTGTTAATAAGAATGTGTATCTAAGAAATTATGGGAGAAAGGAAAAATGGATACCAGGTCAAATTGTTCAATGTACAGGACCTGTGCCTTATAAAGTAACTTGTGCAGATAATAAGTGTGAATCTGTCAATCCCACCAAATCTGAACAGTTCACACCAACTTAGTTTGTTCCACAACCAAGTTCTGTTGATATGAGTGAACCAAGTTGTCTGGAGTCAGAAAATGTAAATTCTGGAGTTAATGATTTAAATCCTAGACCTCCTGAGATAGAGAATCCAGATGGTCAGAATCTTGAGTCACCAAATCAGAAGCCACTGAGAAGGTCAAGCAGGACAATCAAAGTCCCAAATAAGTTAGACCTATGATTCTAAAGGTCAAAAGGACTTTGACATTATTGTTTTGTATTTTGATTATGTTGTAGCATATTGTGCATTGTTTGTAAGGATGTAATCTACCATAGTGTTCATGTTACAATATAATTGGTGATTTTAGGATACTATCAATTGTTCTATTGAGAGATGTGTTATTGTGTTCTAAGGGTAAAGGGATGTAATAGATTGAAATAATTGTGAGGTCAAGGGAACTCACTCTTCTGTATTAGTTATATTTATAATATTGTTATCTTGAGTGATGTCCCTTGTGTACTTCCTTCCGTCCTCTCTGTGTGTTACCATCGTGATGTAGTTAGACCCAATAAATGTGTTATATACAACCACAGGCTTCTGTCGTCAATCTATTATACTATTAAACTTTTTTTTTGTAAAACTACTTTTTACAACTTTTAAATAAAAAAATATAAATGTTAATTTCCAGGGCCCGAGTGCGGTTGTGAGTGGTCAAGAGTATAAATATAACGTCTCGTTTGTGAACCCACTGAACCGTACACTGACCGACTGTTTTGTCGTGGTGGACGGACTGGGCAAATCAACCAAATTCAGACAAAGGTAAGTACAATATGCTGGTCAAATAGGGGCCAATATAGGATGTGTGGTGTTATGTTTTGAAGCGGATTTTCACGTTAGAGCTTATACACTACTATCAGTTTGTCTTCTAAAGTAATGTTTTTCAGTTTGTTTGGTAAAGATCCCTAACGCTGTCTTCTAAAGTAATGTTCTTTTCAATTTCTGTTTTGTAAAGATTTCTACGCTGCCTTCTTAAGTAATGTTCTTTTCAGTTTCTGTTTTGTGAAATACTTCCACGTTGTCTTATAATGTTCCTTTCAGTTACTGTTTTGTAAAGATCTCTATGCTTTTTTTCTAAAATCATGTTCCTTTCATTGTCTGTTATAGTTATACGAGCCGACCCGCTGCGTATCATACGCCGCTATTTAGTTGTTTTTTTTTTCTACTTTTCAGTAATTTATAATTTGTGAATTCGACAGTACCAATGCTGCCACTGAAAATATTTGCTTAAAAACACAATACCCCCCCTTCCCCCCCCCCCACGTGAAAGCAGCCTCCTCTTAGTTACCTCCTCTAAGTTTAAAATCGTTTCAAACTAAATTATCTGCCCCTAATAGCCGTCACCAAACCCGTCTCTATGATTGTAAAATGTAAACAGCGTGAACCACAGCTCACCAGACCATGTGAGGGGGTGGGGGGTTGTAGCGATAGAGAGGAAGAGAGGGGACTGTAAGGCGCGCTTGCAGCTTGTTTTCTAACGGCTCCCAGAAGAGAATTATATATATATATAGATTATATATATAGATACAATATTTCTACGCTAGAACTGAATGCTACACTGTGTTTTTTCTCTACTCCCCAGTAATGTTCCGCCCAAGAGCACCTTCATCGCCACCATTCCAGTGACTCCTATCAAGTCCACCAAATCAGAGATCATTTTAAACTTCAACTCGGAAGAGCTCCAGGATATCAATGTTTCCCATCATTTACTCATTCAAAATGCTTAATATTTTTAAAATGTAGCATAATTTAGCAGTTACTTAAACTTATATCAATGCCTGAAAATGCTTACAGCTGCTCATTTTAAAGATTTCTATTTTTCTATTTATAACGAAATTTTATAATTATCCTGTACGTTTATTTTATCACTGCCATTTCTACTGAGTTTCATACACTCCTCTAAGAATGTGAATTACTGAACAAACGTTATATACTTCAAAGGCCATATTACATATTATCTTGCCTAGGCCAAAAATATAAGGTTACCTCGCCATGTTTATCTATATAACATGCTTCCATCCCCACCATCCAGTAATCTTTGATTATAAATTAGTCTTCCCTCACGTCATATCCCAGCCCCAACATCACTTTTAGAAGATTCACATATTACTTAAAATAAAAAAAAATCAATATTGATCTTTCACACCATCCTGTTTAATGTTATAGTCTTAATTTATAAAACAGTCCTATCACACTAACCCCTAGAATATATAACAAAGCCAGACCCCCCCCCCTTCCCTACACACATACAAACTCCGAAATTTCACAAACACACAAAAATACATCACCACACTTAGAGTAGTCTATAAATGACATCACGTTTCGCTTTTTTGTGGTATAATTTGGACCCCGCCCCCCATCGTGACTCATCCTCACAAAAGTCTTTGTAAGGAATGTGGCATCATTTTATAAACGACCCCTCAATAACACTTATTTATTTCAGCTATAATTAACATTATTATTTTATATATAGGCACTACAAGTGCATCCACCTGGTAATTAACTGAAGTAGAAGGCCTACACGTTATGCTGCTTGCAAAAATTAGCATGACTTCTGGCAATCACAATCTAATGCCTAAAAGTTATTTTTGTATATTGATAATTATAAAACTTAAACTTTCCAAGTCTTAACTCAAACGTGACGTTACTGGTGCCTTAATTAATCTAACCGTTGATCCGTCTGGGTGCTTTCGCCAACCAAGACTGGGGAAAATAGGCGAGCATAAGCTGGTATTAGAGAACATCGTCTTTTTTAATTACACCTCTCTACACGCAAGAATACCACAAGAGAAACCATTGACAAACTCATGTACACAAGGTTCCCAAAACTTTGACTTTTCCCACACAACGATATATAAGTACAAAACAGGTATTTGGTGCTTTAAAGCTTTATTGTCCGTCTAGCAAGACATATTATATATTGGTCAAATACAAACTTTATAATGTGTTTTTATGTTTATATGTTATATCCGTATATATATATATATATATATATATATATATATATATATATATATATATATATATATATATATATAGCTATTGTGTCTTGTAATAGTTGTAAGCTTGAATTATGTTATGAAAAATATAAAATATTATTTTGAAATTTAAAAATGTTTTTTTTTTATCAGTTACCCTTAAACAATATTTTTTTTTTACACAAACACACCACTAACCTACCATCCCTTTTTTTTTTTTAATATTTACAATGAAAGCCTATATTACATATATTCGGTACGATTACTACATTTTAAAATGTGTCAGCCTAAAAAAAAAATCACATTTTTTGTGTGTAAATCTATCAATTTCTTTGTTTACTTAATTTTTTATATGAGCTGTCAGTTTCCAAAACATGTCGCAAAAACTATAGATTAAACGCAACACTCTATCTTTCATAAAGTAGCCTACGTAGTAACAGTGGCGTAGGCAGAGGGGTTAGGGGGGGGGGATCATAACCCCCCCCCCCTCTCCCCATAGACCCCTCGGTCTCGGTATATATATAAAGTATGAGGGGGGGTGCAAATCGAAAGTTTGAGGGGGTGCAAATCGAAAGTTTAAGGGGGGGGGGGTGCAAATCAAAAGTCTCAGGGGGGGGGGTGCAAATCGAAAGTTTAAGGGGGGGGGGTGCAAATCGAAAGTTTGTCCCCGGGTAAAAATTGGAACCCCTTCCCTTTGAGACGATCCTGGCTACGTCACTGCGTAGTAATAATATAGACCTAGTGTACACAAACGGAAAACTCAGCTACAGGCATCTTTCATAACCTACCTATTGATATAGATCTAGTGTCCACAAGGGGATCGCAGTATTGTTGACGGCGACACCCACGAAGACTCATGTATTATTGGCCTTATCAGAAACAAGTCAAAATTCAGCGTTCACTCAACCATGCGTTTAATACGCCTTGTGTTTATATAATAATCAATAATTTAAGCAGATATTTATCTGCAACCTTTATCTTCATAAACTCCCCCCCCCCCCAAACACCGTATTTCCCATAACGTGTAGGTGTGTGTTACCAAGACGTACTTAAAAAGAGCAGGTTTCTGTGTTTTTCAATACGACAGAGGAAAGCGTGACACAAAGGTAAAGGCATGGCGTCACGCTTTTAAAAATTATTTTTACCTACCCCGTCCACATCGTCACGCAATGCCAGACACCCCCCCCCCCCACACACACACAATTGCAATTTTTTTTTTAAACAACGATTTCTTTCTAAAATAATTTAAATATTCTCTATGCTTGGCCAGCCTTGAGTACAGGGATGGGCTGGGCCGCCGGGGCACCGAAAGAAATAGTGGGCCGCCATGAAAAAAAAACACTCGGTGGGCAGTCAGAATCAGTGCCGTATTTGGTGCTTTGATTAAAAAAATACTTTAGTTGATTAACTCTTCCAATTTGTCGTTTTGTTATTATTGTTTATTGCATTTTGTAACCTAAAGTAGCACGTGACTTTGAAGGGATCCGTGCTCCCTCAGGCATGGATGGAATATAGCACTATTATTAAACAATTTTACGGGGCAGTTTTTATTCAAATGTTTTTAGGATTACTGGGACTCAGCATGACCGAATATATTAATCAAATTAGTTTTAAAAATTCAAGTGTGTCGTCACATTTTTTTGAACCCGCCCCCTTCTCCTTTTGTCACAATATTCCTACCCCCTCCCCCCCCCCCCCCCTTCAGTGGCGTAGCGAGGTCGGGTGTCTACCGGTGCGGCACTTAATGGTGTCACCTCCAGACAAAATTTCAATTTTCGATTCGCCCCCCCCCCCCTCAAACTTTCGATTTGCACCCACCCCCCATCAAACTTTCGATTAGCACCCACCCCCTCAAACTTTCGATTTCCACTTCTTAAAAGACTATTTAACACTCGAATTAATCATTAATTAAGTGGAATTATCATTTTTCTCTATATATTTTGCTATTTTTTGCATAGGTGTCATCCCCCCTAAATGGTGTCCCCCGGTACGGTCCGCACCCCCCCCCCTCTCTCTACCCCACTGCCCCCCTCCCTCCTCTTTCTAGTCCAGGAGTGTGACATCGTTTATGGACGATCCCAAATATCACTGAAGAGTGAAGAGAAAAGCAGTGATGAAAACTAAGTAAAAGTAACATAAAAAATGCACATAAGCATTTAAATTCAATTATGTTCAGTGAAGTTAAGTTTCATTAAGTGTAGCATTAAGAATGTAACGGGTAAGTAGATCTAGATCTAGATCTAGATCTAGATCTAGATGAAAAATTTATGTTAGAACTTGTAAGTAATGTAAGCCTTGGCTTAGAAGAAGGATAACTACAACAAATAAACCGGGAGTGATCTCCCCTAAACTTTCTCGAATATTCTTATATAAAATAACAGGGGATGGGAACTCGGGCTATAGACATGATTTTTAATCCATTTTAAATACTTAAAGTTTTAAAAATAGAATAAAATCTCGTAGACAAATTAATTGCACACCAAGTGAACGCCAAATAAAAAAGCGCATAATAGTGCGCAATATTATTAGTACTTTTAAAATTTACATTAGTTTTTTGAGAAATCGGAAGTAGCGTAAATTACTACTTCCAGTCAACGGAAATTACTCAAAATTTTACAGAAGGTAGAGAATTAGATCTTTTACTTACATGTGAAATTTCATTTATCTATCTGAAATAGTACTCAAGTTATAGGCTTTTGAAAAATTCAAAGTAGGAAAAGTACCACTTCCGGTTATCGGAAATCGCTCAAAAGTTGATACGGATCTACGATTTTGATAAAATACTTATATATGAAATTTCATCAACCTAGCTGTAACGGTACTCAAGTTATCACGTTTACACACGGACACACAGACACACAGACACACACACACACACAGACATACGGACAAGATTGCAAAATTATGTTTTTCCGTATCAGTGAGGTGTAAAACGTCGAGATCTGTAAAAATCTCGATTTTTTTTTGCACGATTACAATACTTTCTCTATACTTCGTATAGCCCCCCCCCCCCCCTATACGAGAAAGTAAAAAATTAACAAAAATAATTTCCAAACAAAAGAGTTACAATTTATTAAAGGCGGGTGTTACAATGAGTAGAATAGTTCAATAGTGTAGATTCACTGTAGAATGTAGATCTAGATCTAGATCTAGAGCTAGATTCTAGATCTACGCCTAACTACGCACAGCATAGTTTACTGTAAAAGATGTAAAGACAAAATAAACAGACCGGTATACCAACAGACCGAATATTATTGTATAGATTTAGATCTAGAATTAAGGCCTAGCCAGATCGATCAGTTTCTGACACTCAAGAGTTTGTTCATTCGGGACTGCCAGTGGCTAAGGTCTCAGTATGAGTATTCAGAACTCAGACCATTAAACACTCTTTTTACTCTTCACTACTCAACTTCACTGTGCTTTAAACTTTAATACCCCTCTGACTTCCACTAACAGTGCTATAAATAGCTAGATCTAGATCTATTAGCCTATAATAATTATTAATACATTTAGGTTAGTGTTAGACTAGTATTTCTCACTAGCCCGGGGGCGTGGCCGGTTGCTAACAACAATATGGCGTACGGACCGGATGCATGACTTCCGACGATTTTTCGTCTTAGTTCCAGAGACCTTCTTAGAATTACTTTTAAAAATGTTTATCACGAGTAAAATGGCGGGTTTTCACGTTATAAAAACATGCAAATCTCGAGTTCAAACCCTCTGGCAGATAACTGAGATAAGGCTCGATCCCTCCCAACACTAAAAATTAAGAACGAAGAAGAAGAAAGATCAGAGGCGTAGCGACCCTTCCCGGCGCCCGGGACAAACTTTCAATTTGCACCATAAAACTTTCAATTTGGTTTTCCAACCCATTTTGGCGCCCCCTACGGACAGCACCCTAGGCGACCACCTAGTTCGCCTTATAGGTAGCGCTTGCCCTGCGTGCAAGGAAAAATTACATGAAATTCTAATACTTTTCGCCGTTTTACACCTCCCCACTGTATCGTATAAGGAATATAAAGGATGTAATCGAGCTAAAATCAAAATATATTTCAGATTTCTCAAACACTATCACATCTATCGGACTGTTCCTTTTTAAACTTTTCACGTTGGTCAAAACTCGATGACAATGCAATGTGACTTAATTAGATATTTAATTAGCTTTTAAAAAATTAACTAAAAGTTTCTTTATGAAGAAAAATATTTCCGCTCATTTATGCACAAAACGCTTACATTCATTTTTTCTACTCGATTACATTTTTTTTAAATTAAGTATTTAATTAAGTATTTTAAAAAATAATTAAAAAACAACATTCATATATCCAGATTGCACTGAAAGTGCCATTTCTCTTACTCTTAGCACTAACAAGAAATTTTAAGGGAGATCACTCCCGCATTATTTTGTAATGAGGCTTGACGATAGGAAAAAGGGAGTAAAAAAATTAGCTATATTCGCATAACGCAATTTATTGGTGCCGCGGAAAATAAAATAATATAATACTTATCTCAATTTAGCACAAACAAGAGGGATAGGGCGAACTGACTTCAATGTGATGTTTGCACAGTTAAAATGCTATACATGGGGGGGGGGGGGGGATTTTTTTTACAACATCCCACGTCATTAAAAAATTGATATATATCGACTAAAATAACTCATTAATGGACAACTCTCTTTTAATGCATACATGAACGTATTACAGTTCTACACTTATTATACCATTGATTACTAATTCAGTTTGAATTTGTCACCATCATTTATTTTGCTTATAAACCAAAGTTTCTATACGAGGGCTAGTAATCAGAAACTATTGGACGACTGGGAAAGCTTGATAAAAAAAAATGAAAGGTTTGTTCTTAAATGACGACCGAAATAATCGTAGGTCATTCACTGCTATAAAAATGTACAACAATTGATTGGGCTACAAAAAAAAAATGTTTTTGTTGTATGCTTTGGTTTGGTCTTACGTGTTTTTTTTTTTTTTTGGATAGTTTTGTCATCGTGACTTTTTTATAAACACACCCCTGACACACCCCTGACCTACTCGCCGGATATCCTCCCCCCAGATACACACGCCTTAAACACATCCCCACCCCATATCACAGGGACACATCGTATATACACACCTTGAGTAGCTTAAATAACTTACACTACACATTTGTAAGTACACACTTTAACTTTTAGTAGTCCTATTCTGAACAGTGGCGTCACAAGGGGGAGGCGTGGGGCTCCACCCCACCCTCACTGAGCGTCACCGTATACCATTGAGCCACAGCACCTTTAACAACGCACTAACACACCTATTTAAACTCTTTCTGAAAAAACATTATGTTACATTTGTTATGTTAAAAAAAAAAAAAAAAAAAAAAAAAAAAACTATTCATATGAGCTGCCCCGAAACTCGACTTAAAATATCGGCCCAGCTCATCCGCTATTGTGTCTTTTGTTTCATCTCTTTAATGATCTATACCTTGTATTTACTTTGGTGCACAGACGTTTTCTTTTGTCATATCGATTTAGGGAATACACTGCAATAATTTTAAAACATGTGAGGGGGCCAGGGGAGGGGCTTGGGGAGGAGGGTGGGGTGGTCTGGACAAAAGACATGTCCCGAAGAACACATCATGTTTCTGTATAAACATTGTTACAGTGATAGTTTACCATTGGGCATATGCTGGGTAGCTGTTAGAAATGTTTGCTTCACTTAGTTTGTTGATGTTTCTTCTGTTTAGCCACGAGCTGTTGGGGTAAGTTCGTTAACTGGGGTAAGTTCGTTAGCTGGGGTAAGTTCGTTATTTTGTGGTAAGTTCGTTAGCTGGGGTAAGTTCGTTAACTGGGGTAAGTTCGTTAGCTGGGGTGAGTTCGTTAGCTGGGGTGAGTTCGTTAGCTGGGGTAAGTTCGTTCGCTGGGGTAAGTTCGTTCGCTGGGGTAAGTTAACAGTTGGGGTAAGTTCGTTAGCTGGGGTAAGTTAGCTTTTGGGGTAAGTTGGTAAATTTGTATAAGTTCGCAGGTTTGGATGAGTTCATAATTTTGTATTAGTTCGTTAGCTGGGGAAAATTCGTTGTTGGGGTAAGTTCGTTGGCTAGAACAAGCTCATTACCTACTACCTGTGGTAAGCTTGTTACCTCCTGTAGATTCGTTGACTGTACTAAATTTGTTAACTGAAGTACATTCGCAAACTGGGATAAGTTCTTTTGCAAAAATAGGTTCATTAAAATATTATACCTTTAATAAAATTATGACAAAATGCAAAACCCAAAGATTCGAAAAGCATCAGACTGCCTCTTCCAGATCCCACTCCAACCCTGAGGTGAAGGACACATCCAAATGCAGGAGAGTCTGCGACAACGATCGATTCCCTGGCCTTGTGTGTGAGCTAGTGGCTCTGTCTTTGACCTAGAGGGTGAGTTAGTGGCTCTGTCTTTGACCTTGTGTGTGAGTTAGTGGCTCTGTCTTTGACCTTGTGTGTGAGTTAGTGGCTCTGTCTTTGACCTTGTGTGTGAGTTAGTGGCTCTGTCTTTGACCTTGTGTGTGAGTTAGTGGCTCTGTCTTTGACCTAGAGGGTGAGTTAGTGGCTCTGTCTTTGACCTAGAGGGTGAGTTAGTGGCTCTGTCTTTGACCTTGTGTGTGAGTTAGTGGCTCTGTCTTTGACCTTGTGTGTGAGTTAGTGGCTCTGTCTTTGACCTTGTGTGTGAGTTAGTGGCTCTGTCTTTGACCTAGAGGGTGAGTTAGTGGCTCTGTCTTTGACCTAGAGGGTGAGTTAGTGGCTCTGTCTTTGACCTTGTGTGTGAGTTAGTGGCTCTGTCTTTGACCTAGAGGGTGAGTTAGTGGCTCTGTCTTTGACCTTGTGTGTGAGTTAGTGGCTCTGTCTTTGACCTTGTGTGTGAGTTAGTGGCTCTGTCTTTGACCTAGAGGGTGAGTTAGTGGCTCTGTCTTTGACCTTGTGTGTGAGTTAGTGGCTCTGTCTTTGACCTAGTGTGTGAGTTAGTGGCTCTGTCTTTGACCTAGAGGGTGAGTTAGTGGCTCTGTCTTTGACCTTGTGTGTGAGTTAGTGGCTCTGTCTTTGACCTTGTGTGTGAGTTAGTGGCTCTGTCTTTGACCTTGTGTGTGAGTTAGTGGCTCTGTCTTTGACCTTGTGTGTGAGTTAGTGGCTCTGTCTTTGACCTTGTGTGTGAGTTAGTGGCTCTGTCTTTGACCTTGTGTGTGAGTTAGTGGCTCTGTCTTTGACCTAGAGGGTGAGTTAGTGGCTCTGTCTTTGACCTAGAGGGTGAGTTAGTGGCTCTGTCTTTGACCTTGTGTGTGAGTTAGTGGCTCTGTCTGTGACCTTGTGAGTTAGTGGCTCTGTCTGTGACCTAGAGGGTGAGTTAGTGGCTCTGTCTTTGACCTTGTGTGTGAGTTAGTGGCTCTGTCTGTGACCTAGAGGGTGAGTTAGTGGCTCTGTCTATGACCTAGAGGGTGAGTTAGTGGCTCTGTCTTTGACCTTGTGTGTGAGTTAGTGGCTCTGTCTTTGACCTTGTGTGTGAGTTAGTGGCTCTGTCTTTGACCTTGTGTGTGAGTTAGTGGCTCTGTCTTTGACCTTGTGTGTGAGTTAGTGGCTCTGTCTTTGACCTTGTGTGTGAGTTAGTGGCTCTGTCTTTGACCTTGTGTGTGAGTTAGTGGCTCTGTCTGTGACCTAGAGGATGAGTTAGTGGCTCTGTCTGTGACCTAGAGGGTGAGTTAGTGGCTCTGTCTTTGACCTTGTGTGTGAGTTAGTGGCTCTGTCTTTGACCTTGTGTGTGAGTTAGTGGCTCTGTCTGTGACCTAGAGGGTGAGTTAGTGGCTCTGTCTTTGACCTTGTGTGTGAGTTAGTGGCTCTGTCTGTGACCTTGTGTGTGAGTTAGTGGCTCTGTCTTTGACCTTGTGTGTGAGTTAGTGGCTCTGTCTTTGACCTTGTGTGTGAGTTAGTGGCTCTGTCTTTGACCTTGTGTGTGAGTTAGTGGCTCTGTCTTTGACCTTGTGTGTGAGTTAGTGGCTCTGTCTTTGACCTTGTGTGTGAGTTAGTGGCTCTGTCTTTGACGTTGTGTGTGAGTTAGTGGCTCTGTCTTTGACCTTGTGTGTGAGTTAGTGGCTCTGTCTGTGACCTAGAGGGTGAGTTAGTGGCTCTGTCTGTGACCTTGTGTGTGAGTTAGTGGCTCTGTCTTTGACCTTGTGTGTGAGTTAGTGGCTCTGTCTTTGACCTTGTGTGTGAGTTAGTGGCTCTGTCTGTGACCTTGTGAGTTAGTGGCTCTGTCTTTGACCTTGTGTGTGAGTTAGTGGCTCTGTCTGTGACCTAGAGGGTGAGTTAGTGGCTCTGTCTGTGACCTTGTGTGTGAGTTAGTGGCTCTGTCTTTGACCTTGTGTGTGAGTTAGTGGCTCTGTCTTTGACCTTGTGTGTGAGTTAGTGGCTCTGTCTGTGACCTTGTGAGTTAGTGGCTCTGTCTGTGACCTAGAGGGTGAGTAAGGGGCTCTGTCTTTGACCTTGTGTGTGAGTTAGTGGCTCTGTGACCTTGTGTGTGAATTAGTGGCTATGTCTTTGACCTTGTGTGTGAGTTAGTGGCTCTGTGACCTTGTGTGTGAGTTAGTGGCTCTGTCTTTGACCTTGTGTGTGAGTTAGTGGCTCTGTCTTTGACCTTGTGTGTGAGTTAGTGGCTCTGTCTTTGACCTTGTGTGTGAGTTAGTGGCTCTGTCTTTGACCTTGTGTGTGAGTTAGTGGCTCTGTCTTTGACGTTGTGTGTGAGTTAGTGGCTCTGTCTTTGACCTTGTGTGTGAGTTAGTGGATCTGTCTGTGACCTTGTGTGTGAGTTAGTGGCTCTGTCTTTGACCTTGTGTGTGAGTTAGTGGCTCTGTGACCTTGTGTGTGAGTTAGTGGCTCTGTCTTTGACCTTGTGTGTGAGTTAGTGGCTCTGTGACCTTGTGTGTGAGTTAGTGGCTCTGTCTTTGACCTTGTGTGTGAGTTAGTGGCTCTTTCTTTGACCTTGTGTGTGAGTTAGTGGCTCTGCCTGTGACCTAGAGGGTGAGTTAGTGGCTCTGTCTTTGACCTAGTGTGTGAGTTAGTGGCTCTGTCTTTGACCTTGTGTGTGAGTTAGTGGCTCTGTCTTTGACCTTGTGTGTGAGTTAGTGGCTCTGTCTTTGACCTTGTGTGTGAGTTAGTGGCTCTGTCTGTGACCTAGAGGGTGAGTTAGTGGCTCTGTCTTTGACCTTGTGTGTGAGTTAGTGGCTCTGTCTTTGACCTAGAGGGTGAGTTAGTGGCTCTGTCTTTGACCTTGTGTGTGAGTTAGTGGCTCTGTCTTTGACCTTGTGTGTGAGTTAGTGGCTCTGTCTTTGACGTTGTGTGTGAGTTAGTGGCTCTGTCTTTGACCTTGTGTGTGAGTTAGTGGCTCTGTCTGTGACCTAGAGGGTGAGTTAGTGGCTCTGTCTTTGACCTTGAGTGTGAGTTAGTGGCTCTGTCTTTGACCTTGTGTGTGTGTTAGTGGCTCTGTCTTTGACCTTGTGTGTGAGTTAGTGGCTCTGTCTTTGACCTTAAGTGTGAGGTAGTGGCTCTGTCTTTGACCTTGTGTGTGAGTTAGTGGTTCTGTCTTTGACCTTGTGTGTGAGTTAGTGGCTCTGTCTTTGACCTTGTGTGTGAGTTAGTGGCTCTGTCTTTGACCTTGTGTGTGAGTTAGTGGCTCTTTCTTTGACCTTGTGTGTGAGTTAGTGGCTCTGTCTTTGACCTAGAGGGTGAGTTAGTGGCTCTGTCTGTGACCTTGTATGTGAGTTAGTGGCTCTGTCTTTGACCTTGTGTGTGAGTTAGTGGCTCTGCCTGTGACCTAGAGGGTGAGTTAGTGGCTCTGTCTTTGACCTAGAGGGTGAGTTAGTGGCTCTGTCTTTGACCTAGAGGGTGAGTTAGTGGTTCTGTCTTTGACCTTGTGTGTGAGTTAGTGGCTCTGTCTTTGACCTTGTGTGTGAGTTAGTGGCTCTGTCTTTGACCTAGAGGGTGAGTTAGTGGCTCTGTCTTTGACCATGTGTGTGAGTTAGTGGCTCTGTCTTTGACCTTGTGTGTGAGTTAGTGGCTCTGTCTTTGACCTTGTGTGTGAGTTAGTGGCTCTGTCTTTGACCTTGTGTGTGAGTTAGTGGCTCTGTCTGTGACCTAGAGGGTGAGTTAGTGGCTCTGTCTTTGACCTTGTGTGTGAGTTAGTGGCTCTGTCTTTGACCTTGTGTGTGAGTTAGTGGCTCTGTCTTTGACGTTGTGTGTGAGTTAGTGGCTCTGTCTTTGACCTTGTGTGTGAGTTAGTGGCTCTGTCTGTGACCTAGAGGGTGAGTTAGTGGCTCTGTCTTTGACCTTGAGTGTGAGTTAGTGGCTCTGTCTTTGACCTTGTGTGTGTGTTAGTGGCTCTGTCTTTGACCTTGTGTGTGAGTTAGTGGCTCTGTCTTTGACCTTGTGTGTGAGTTAGTGGCTCTGTATTTGACCTTGTGTGTGAGTTAGTGGCTCTGTCTTTGACCTTGTGTGTGAGTTAGTGGCTCTGTCTGTGACCTAGAGGGTGAGTTAGTGGCTCTGTCTTTGACCTTGTGTGTGAGTTAGTGGCTCTGTCTTTGACCTAGAGGGTGAGTTAGTGGCTCTGTCTTTGACCTTGTGTGTGAGTTAGTGGCTCTGTCTTTGACCTTGTGTGTGAGTTAGTGGCTCTGTCTTTGACCTTGTGTGTGAGTTAGTGGCTCTGTCTGTGACCTAGAGGGTGAGTTAGTGGCTCTGTCT